CTTTGAGAGAGGAAAAATACCGAGATGGCTGTAGTATTGTCTGGAGCAAAGGGATCCAAATTTCTTGCTCGAGCGGGCCCAGTAATAATTTCTTATTTAATTTCTTTAATTTAATTTAATTTAATTTAATTTCTTATTTAATTTCTTATTAAAATTATTATTTTGTCTTCAGTAATGTCTTTTGAAATATGCATAAAGCTGATATAATTAACTCATTTTGATAGAGATTAATTAGTACTGTCACTGTCACTGTCACTGTCCTCCCGTTGTTCATCAATTTGCTCAAGAAGGCCTAGTAACATTGTGAGACTTGTTACAGTATTTGGCATATCAAATACGTCACAGGTAGCTTGCCAGGCTTTGCCGTGCAGGTGGGATACTCAGTAGTTTGCCTGGCTCTCTGAGAGGGGCAAAGGAATTGAACTCGGGTTGGCCTGGTCGGCTGCATGCAAGGCAAATGCACTACCTGCTGTGCTATCGCTCCAGCCCATTAATTAGTAATCTACATAAAATCAAATTTACTTCAACTCAAGTGTAATATTGCAACTTTGAGTCATTTCTAGGTAATAACTAATGTATCTATCTGTGGTGTGAATGTGTGTGTAGTCAGAAGGAACCTCTGTGCTTAAAAAGGAGATAAAGATGTTTAATTTATGAAAGGCTGTAGGTACCACTCAAAACTGTTATGTGTTCCCACCTTAACACCTCTGGAGCAATAGCGTGCTTCCCTAGATTCTGGAACATTATCACTGCCAGACTTTACCCATACAAAATCATTTCTCCAAAAGATGTACCCACTCTCTGTAGTAGTCGGAAGACATTAAATCATGTAAGTCCTGTATTTCCCAGCCTTACTGGTCCAATTTGGGACAATTCATGAGGACTCATTCAAAATTAAGAGTTACTTATTACATTTTAGAGGCCTTAGTTATCTCTATGTCGCAGAACAGTGGCCTTTAAGATAGAGTTACCTGAGATGGCCTTAAAAGAACAGAACCATGAAACTAATAAATTCGTTTAGACAAAATATCATAACTCAATTTGCATTCTGTTTTGCAGGAAGGCAACAAGGTGAACTGACTGGAAAAAGAGTCATTGTTGATGTAACTAAGATAAGGACATTATGATGAACCTTAATACAACATTCATATGAAAGTTACATGCTGCAATATACTTTCAAAATCATAAATCCAATGATTATAATTTTAGTTATGATTTAGGTCCACATAAAAACCAAGATCTGGTAAAGTATTATTATCTGGAATATATTACTAAGACATCATTTTGGAAAACAAAAAGAATGTTTTAAAATTTCTCTTGATGGCAACTGTTAATATGTTTTTAAATAGATTAAGTGACAGTACTCATTTTCAAAATAGCCTTTAACAGGTGTTCTCATGACTTTAAAGTATAAAGTTACTATAAAAAGTAAGAAGCAGGGAATGCTTACATTAAAATAACTTTAACAGTTCAGGATCATAAAAAGGAAAATTAACAATGATTATATATTTTCAGGGTCTAATGCTTTATAATCCACACCAAAGATTATAAGTATGAGGCAATAATTTGTTCCTAATCTACATGAAATCATTGGTTTTTCTAACTTTCAAGGTAAGACAAAAGCTAAAAATAGTGAAAAATGAATAATATAAAGAAAATATAATCCCTGCAGCACCAGTAAGTGATAAAACTATTGAGACAGTAAAATATGGTTCTTACTTTTCTATTTAATGAAGATTACGATAAATATTCTATAATCTTTTTGCTTACTTATTTGATTTTTGTGTCTCTTCTGGTAGTGCTTATCACTTTCGACTGGCATTGTGCTCAGGAATCACTACTAGCTGTGCTCAAGGAACATATGTGGTTCTAGGAATACCTAGGTCAGCCATGTGCAAGGCAAATGCCCTACCAACTGTATTATTTCTCCAGACCCCTAAAACATTTATTGATTTCTTTAATCTTTTGTGGGTGTACCACACTTAGTGATGCTCAGTAATAGTCTAGGCTTAGTGCTTTGGGGCCACTCTGGTTGTCCTCAAAGCATCATGTGGGCTGGGAGATCATGCAAGCCTCCTGGATGCGAAGCATGTACTCTAACCCATTAAACTACCTCTATAGACCACAACTACTTTTTTTTAAATTTTTGCACATGATGAACTAAGTCCATCTTAAATGTTAATCTATAATGTGTATTTAAATTGCATATTCATATACAATAGTAATAAGAGACACGTTCCACAGAGTACTTAATTCATTATTCACACATGAAACTTTAAACTGATTTTATCACAATTATAAATATTTCTTAATCAAACACATTTCTATTTGTAGCTATCTGATTTTTTCTAATTGTTTTATTAATACATGGTCTTAGAAATAAATGCTCATAAACATCTCTGATGAGGATTACCAAATTGCTTTTAATTAAACATAGGCAGATAAGAAAGCCCTAGGAATGTGATCGATGGCAGTATTTCTTGTAAAGTGACACTCAACTTCAGCTCTAGGTTATGTTTAAAAACACTCACTGTCTACACTTGACAAAAAATGAGCTCATAGTACTCACCAATTTGGTTAAAGATGGATTTAACTTTTCTTGGCTATTGAATGAGTCATGCTGACAGTACTCGGGGTTTACTCCTGGCTCTGAGGTCAGGATCACTTTGGCAGTGCTCAGGAGACTATATTGGTGTCAGGAATTCAAACTGGGGTCAGGTAAATGCAAGGCAAGCGTCTGTTTTCCTGTAGTATCTCTCTGGCCCCCAAATATATTAACTTTAAATATATTTTAGAAAAAAAAATTTTTTTTGCTTTTTGGGTCACACCTGGCGGTGCACAGGGGTTACTCCTGGCTCATGCACTCAGGAATTACTCCTAGCAGTGCTCAGGGGATCATAAGAGATGTTGGGAATCGAACCCGTTCAGCTGCATGCAAGGCAAGAGCCCTACCCACTGTACTATCACTTCAGCCCCAATTTTAGAAAAATTTTAAAGACAAAAATTAGACTCAATTATACAAAAAAATTTTGATTAGCAATTTTAATTAAAGGTAAAGGTAAAGGCCCTCCCGTTGATCGTCGATTTGCTCGAGCGGGCCCAGTAACGTCTCCATTGGAGACTTTGTTGTTACTGTGTCTGGCATATCGAATACTCTCGGTAGCTTGCCGGGCTCTCCGAGAGGGGCGGAGGAATCGAACTCGGGTCGGCCATGTTGGCCGCGTGTAAGGCGAACGCTCTACTGCTGTGCTATCGCTCCAGTCCTAAAAAATTTATAATTTACTGTAAACATGATCTACAGGACATAACAGGTCATTTGTATGTATTAAGTTCCAATGTACAATGTTGATAATTACCGAATTATAGAATGCTCTGTATTATTGAATATATTCACATTTTGGGCTGGACTTGCATGCAGTGACCCTGGTTTGATCCCTGTCACCCCATATGGTTCCTGGACTGTTATGAGTGATCTCTGAATGTAGAGCCTGGAGTAAGCCTTGAATCCCTGGGTGTGGCCCCCAAACATAACAAAATTACGAACATAAAATAAAAATTCACTTTTTTAAAAAGTAAAATATTTAACAGTCATATAAAACTTGGTTAACAAAATATAAATCTGTGAAATATTGTAAAATAACTGAACTAAAGTCCTATAATGACCTGAATAGAGAGAAATGAGGAATGATTGTTGACAATTTTGAATAATGGTAATATTTCATAATTAGTAACGCTTTCATAGTTTAGCAGTCTAATAATGAGTAGGCACTCTTTAACCCTAGAGACTATTGCACTCTTCACAAAAGCCACTTCCTTACTCGTCACTTCAATTTTTTTGAGTGTTTACCCTGCTTCCCTCCATATGTCTAGATGTGTAATATATTAGTTCACCCTCTTTCAGTAACTGTGAAACATAACTTCTACATCTGAACCAGTTTTCCCCTCACCTCAACTTTAAGGTCCTAAAATTGTTTGAATGAGATATTGCAGCCAGATATTCAGACATAAGAAATAAGCTATTAAAAATCTATTAAGGATACTAAATTAAATCACTATCTAAGCTATATAATATTTAAAATTTAACTTGATTCAAAGGGTTCAAATAGTCAGGTATAAACGTAATTACAAAGAAAGTCTATTAGCTATCTGAGTTTACCTGTTTGACTATGTTGCTACACATATTACAAAATTTTCAATTTTTATTGTTTCTATCCAAAACCTATGTTCCTTTAAAGGGCTCACCTAAGAATAGAATAGACTTGACATGAAATTGCCAAGGATGTTAGTTACCCTTATTTTTACTCTTACATAGATCGTTTCTAAATACAAACTCCTACTTTTTCAGTCATTGGTCAAAAAAGAAAATTTTATGTGCAAAGAAGAGGACACTAAGGTGTTCTAAGAACAGCAGCTGCTTATAATGTACCATCCCTTCACATCTTCTCCTTCCTACCAAAAGAAAAAAAATGATTTATGTTGCCATATTGCTACATGATGAGCACCAGGGAAGACAATTCATCCAATTTGCAAAACTGTTCTGTAACCTTGATGGTTATGTTTTGCCGGCACTTTTTTCTCTCTTACTCTACAAAAAAAAAAGCTCAGGTCGGAACGTGGCATTACTTGACAACTTTTCCACACAACTGAATCGTGGACCTCCAGGAGCGCCTCACGAGACTTCACGAGATTTTCAACTTCCGGCCTTGAGCTGCACGTCGCGTTGCATCGCGTCACCTTGCGTCGCGTTGTGTCGCGTCACGGTGCCCCGCCTCGCCTCGCTTCGCCTCGCCTCGCCTGCAGCAGGCCGCAGCTCTAGGCACAGGCCTTGACTTCCAGAATCGCACGCCATCGCGCAGCCACTGAGGCAGAATCGGCCCCAGAGCAGGAGAAAGACATTGAGCAGACCTTTGTGAGTCTACCACTCGACAGGCAAACGCTCTTATAAGAGCGATAAGATCCCGTGAGAACGAACGTGGGAAAATTTCCGCCTCCGCCCGAAAATGTCCAGCAACTCCAGTGAAATCAATGTGCTCAGAACACGCGTAGCAGACTACCGTGAAGACGATGGCACTGCCCCTTATGCCTACGAGCCGAAACCTTGCCAGTTTATCAATCTGGAAGGCGTGCTCCCGGAAACGTCGTGCCGAGAACGACCTTACACGGTTGGGGACGTGCTGACCCACTGCCAGATGATCCACGATTCGATTCAGACGCTGGATAAGTTGTTCAACGTCATCCGTGGCAAGGTCTTGAAACTCCACCGGCTCCACGTGAAATCGATGTGGCGAAACCACAAGGCGGTTTGCTTTTCCTACCGATCTTTTCGTTACCTGTTCTCTCGAAGGCTCCGATACCAAGGGGCCAGAAAGAAACACGGCCGTGGCGGTTTCCCTGCCCGCGCGGGGGGCCGCCGGAGTCTGCTGGTCAGGGGGCAGAGGTCCGAGGGCAACAAGGAGGCTTCTCCTGTGGAAACCTCGGCGCCCACCCAGGGGTCTCTGATGGAGGCACAGCAGGAGAAGCCGAGAGGACCCCAGGATCCGCTGATGCTGGCTCCCTGTGCTGCACTCTCGTTGCCGACGTGTTTCATCTCCCAGAAGAGGCTGGAGGGCGAGGGCCCCTCTTCCAAGCCCTCCTTTCTCAGCGCCCAACCCTGCGGCAGCCGCCACCCCTCTGCCCGGGTTCCTGCAGCCTTTCCCGAAAAGGTGCTGCGTTTGGAGGAGCAGCCTCTGAGGAGTCACCCCGAGCTGATGCTGACGGCGAGCCCCGCTCTGCTGGCATTGAAGAGCCGCACCCAATGCACCACCGGCTCATCTCTCTGCACCCTCCTCTCGGAAGCAGGCTCTTCGGCGGGAGACCACGACGGCTTTGCCAAGCTGAGCTGCTCCGATCCTGCGACCTGGTCCGTGGATGATGTGACCCTGTTTCTGAAACAGAGTTTTGCTGAGAACCTCGGCCCCCTTGCTGACCTCTTCCGGGAGCACGACATCGACGGGGAAGCCCTGCTGCTCCTCACCATTGACATCATGATGAAGTACATGGATCTGAAGCTGGAAACGGCCCTGAAGGTGTACGGCCACATCGAAAGACTCAAAGAGAAGAAATACTTGAACAACTGAAAAATGTAGGTTTAGACTGGACTCAGTTTCTGAAAGGCCAATGACATCTTAGGGTAAAAGTCATTTTTTTTTGCCTTCAGAAGTTTTCGTTGTGAAGCGTGTTCTAGAAATGCACTGTATTTAAAAAGTGAAAAAAATATGAGTGTCCAGTCTACTTCTTTAAAAATGATTTAACATGTATTAGCATATTCCAAATGCTTTTGTTCCTTGTGTTTTATGATTTTATTGTGTTGCTTAGAAAAATACTTCAGGAAATAGAAATACATAAAATTGTGGTTCACTTTTATATATGAAAGCCAAATCCCCAAAAGAAACTGTAAAGGATGAACAGATTATCTTTACAAAATCCATGTTAAGTTTTTCTTAGAAAAAGAAGTTTCAAATGCAACTGTGGGTGATATTAATCTCAAATATTTTTGTAAGTTGTAAGAAAGAACAGTTATTTTACACAAAAGACAGAACTGCAAGGGTGGTTGGATAGAATTGGATAAAACACATTTTTGTTAAATACGTCTTATTGAAAATTTCCATATTTTGCCAATGTATGGAAATGTAAGAATTGATTGCTCACTGCTTAGGTATGATAGCAATGTTCAAATTGTTTTTTACTTGATTGCAATTCTGTGATTTGTAATACTGTTGATGATTTCTCCTGTGCGTAATTTCAATATCACAGCTATTTCCATTGTACCCACTTGCCTCCCCCAAGGACCCGGTGCCCCCAACCAACTCAGTTGTTGAAATCTTCCAGAAAATAGCAAATTCTTAAGATACCTACTTTTGTTCATTTTTGCATTATCCATGAATACTGTTTTAGATATATCTTTTATTCTATATCTGAAATATACATAGAAGTTACTGTCACTGTCCTCCCCATTATTCATAATTTGCTCGAGTGGACCCAGTAACATCTCCATTTTTTGAGTATTGTTACTGTATTGTTACTATATTGAATACGTCACGAGTATATATAGAAGTAAATCTTTGAATTGAATATGAAATTTTGCAATTTCATAGAGGTGAGGGTGACCTGATGAACGCATATCAATTAACATTAAAAATACTTCTCTCTATTCAGTGTTTCTAATGGGGAGGTTCTCTGTACGATGTTTTAAGTTCCTTTTCTTTCTGAACCATATTCTGCTAAATGGTAGAAGGGGATTTGTTTTGTTTTGTGTTTTGATCATAGAACATCCAATATAATGTTTATAAGCTATGAGAATTGATACTAATTGAATTAGCTATTTATTATAATGCCAATAAAATGTTCACAGGGGCAACAATAAACGTTTTACCTTTAGCAAAGCAAGTGTATTTGTTTTTTATTATTTGGTTTGGACCACATCCAATGGTTGATGCTCAGGATTTACTACAGGCTCTGTGCTCAGGGATCATTCCTGGAAATGCTTAGGGTACTATTTGTTGTGATAGGGATCAAATTGGAGTCATTTGCATGAAAAGCAAGTGCTTTAAACTCTATGTTATCTTTGAGACCCAAATTAAATATATTTTCTATTTACCAGGCATCTGAGAATTAGAGTGCTTTCATATATGTTGTTCTTTTGTGTTACAAGACAGGATTTAAATTTTTCTTTTTTCTTTTGAACTGTGTGAAGATTCTGTGCCAATTGAACAATTCTCAGGTCATTGTATAAATACTTTCAGGTTTTTAAATATAATAAGGTTGAATAACCAATTTTTTTAGAAGCATCTTTATATAAGTATCTTGTTTTTATCTTTAGGATTCCAGTGCTATAGCAAATAAATATATTTAAGTTGTCCAGAAAAGGAGGAAAAACTTCTAATCACATACCATTCTCATTTTCATCATAGACTTATCAGTTTAGTTATATATTGTTTTGTATGTAAATATTCAAATATAATAAATGTATGCAGATATGCACAAAACATACACAATGACTTTTTTTAAATGTAGGAATACTGCTATTTATACAGCCACTGAATTGAATTGGACATGAACTCCACCTTACCTTTTTTTTTTCATTTTTTGTAATTTTATTTATTGAATCACTGTGAGAGCAGTTACAAAGCTTTCGAGTTTAAGTCTTAGTAATACAATGAAACACCTGTTCCTTCACCAGTGCCCATTATCCATCCCCCAAAACTCCATCCCAAATCCTCTCCCTACCTGTGGGGCAGATGATTTACACATTACTCTCTCGCTCTACTTTGATTACATTCTATATCTTGACACCAGAACCACCATTATAATTTGGAATTTTATCCCAACACTTGGGCTGGAGCCATATCACAGCAGTATGGCGTTTGCCTTGCACACGGCCGACCCGACTGGGGTCCAATTCCTCCTCCCCCCCGCCTGAGAGATCCTGTAAAGCAACCAAGAGCATCCTGCCTGCACAGCAAAGCCTGGCAAGTTGCCCGTGACGCATTGGGCATGCCAAACACAGTAACAACAAGTCTCAAAATGGAAACGTTACTGGGCCCACTTGAGCAAATCGATGAACAATGAGAGAACAGTAACAGTGACCTCAACACTAATATATATATATGTGTATATATATGTATATGTATATATATTTTTAATAGAGGCTTGCTCTTTGGCCTGTTTTATTTTATTTATATTTTTAAGTTTTATTAGTGAAACCTCATGAGGTACAGTTGTAGACTTACAAATTTTTGTGCTTGGGTTTCGGTTATACAATGATCAATTACCCATCCCTCCACCAGTGCCCATTTTCCATCACCATGGATCCCAGTATCCCTCCCACCCACATCCCCCTATCCCATCCTGCCTCTGTGGCAGGGCATTCCCTTTGTTCTCTCTCTCCTTTTGGGTGTTGTGGTCTGCAAAAGAGGCACAGAGTGGCAATCATGTTCGGTCTATAGTCTACTTTCAGCATGCATCTCCCATCCTGGGAGGATCCTCCAAACACCCTTTATTTTGTGCTCCCTTCTCCATCTGAGCTGCCTTTTCCCCTAGCATGCCCGGCTGGCCTCTAAGCCATAGAGTAATCCTCCTAGTACTTATCTCGGCTATTCTTGGATATTAATCTCCTATTTTATGTCCCCCAGATAAATGCAATCTTTTTATGTCTGTCCCTCTCTTTCTGACTCATTTCACTTAGCATGATACTTTCCATGTACTATCACTTGTATGTAAATTTTATGACTTTATCTTTTCTTACAGCTACATAGTACTCCATTGTGCAGATGTACCAAAGTTTCTTTAACCAGTCATCTGTTCTTGGGCACTCAGGTTTTTTCCAGATTGTGGTTATTGTAGAGTGCTGCAATGAACAAACAAGTGCAGATGTCACTTCGCCTATACTTTTTTGCCTCTCTGGGATATATTCCCAGGAGTGGTATTGTTGGGTCAAATGGAAGCTCAATTTCTAATTTTTTGAGAATCGTCCATACTGTTTTCCAAAAGTGCTGGACCAGTCCGCATTCCCACCAACAGTAAAGGAGGGTCCCTTTCTCACCACATACATGCCAGCACCGGTTGCTTTTATTTTTTTGGATGTGGGCCAGTCTCTGAGGTATGAGATGGTATCTCATTGTGGTTTTGATCTGCATCTCCCTGATGAGTAATGATGTAGGGCATTTTCTCATGTGCTTTTTTGCCATTCGAATTTCTTCTTTGAGAAAGTTCCTGTTCATTTCATTGCCCCATTTTTTGATGGAGTTGGATGTTTTCTTCTTGTGGAGTTCAACAAGTACTTTATATATTCTTGATATCAACCCCTTGTCAGATGTGTATTCGGCGAATATCCTTTCCCATTCTATAGACTGTCTTTGTATTTTGGTCATTGTTTCTTTTGAGGTGCAGAAGCTTCTTAGTTTAAGATAGTCCCATTTGTCTATCTCTGTTTTCACTTGCTTGTCCAGTTGCGTGACATCTTTGAAGATACCATTAGCTTCAATGTAATGGAGAATTTTGCCAACCTTGTCTTCAATGTACCTTATGGATTCCGGTCTGATGTTGAGGTCTTTAATGCATTTTGAACTTACTTTTGTACATGGAGTTAGGCAGAGATATGAGCCCATTTTTTTGCATGTAGCCATCCAGTTTTGCCAGCACTATTTGTTAAAGAGGCTTACCTTACTCCACTTCACATTTCTTGCTCCTTTATCAAAGATTACATGATCATATGATTGAGGGGAGATGTCAGTATATTCAACCCTGTTTCATTGGTCTGGAGCACTGCCTTTGTTCCAGTACCATGCTGTTTTAATTATTACTGCTTTGTAGTAGGGTTTGAAATTAGGGAGGTTGATTCCTCCCATTTTCTTTTTCCCAAGAATTGCTTTAGCTATTCGTGGGGGCTTATTGTTCCATATGAATTTCAGGAGTGTTTGCTCCATTTCTTTGAAGAATGTCATGGGTATCCTTGTAGGGATCACAGTGAATTTGTACAGTGCTTTGGGAAGTATTGCCATTTTGACAATGTTAATTCTCCCGACCTATGAACAGGGGATATCTTTCCATTTTCTCTTGTCCTCTTTTATTTCCTGATGTAGTGTTTTGTAGTTTTCTTTGTACAGGTCCTTTACTTCCTTAGTTAAACTGATTCCTAATACTTGATTTTCTGGGGCACAATTGTGAACGGGATTGTATTTTTATGTCACTTTCTTCTCTCTCACTATTCGCATATAGGAAAGCCATGGACTTTTGGGTATTGTTTTTATAGTCTGCTATACAAGTCTATTGTTTGTAGGAGTTTCTTGGTGGAGGTTATAGGGTTCTCTAAGTATAGTATCATATCATCTTCTAATAGTGAGAAAAACACTCAGATATTTGAAATTCCGAAATTTTAACAATTATATCCAGATTCTCTTGGATCATAGCCGTTAAGCCACTTGATTAGAAGCCAGAAAGGCCATTTATGGTTGGCGTCTCAGGGTCTCGTTGGGACGGGGAAGAAAAGGCCAGCTCCACCCTCATCCCCTGAGGCCCTGTGTGTTTCATAACTGAGGGCCCAAATCTGACTGTCCAGTGGCCTCTGGAGGATGGTGGC